CAGAAGTATTTTCGGACGGAACATAAACGGAATCTTGCCAGTCACTGTTTAAAAACAAGGCAATATCGCTAGTAGTCCACCCAAAGGAACACCTTTGTTTATACAGGCAGAACTGCAGAATGTTCTGCGTTTAAAACCAGTGGAGGATCCATAGGGGCGAAGAGAGGAGGGGCTTTCGGGTTGAATCCTCTCCCCTACCCTCAAATAATTATTTTTTATATTTCGCTACTGTTAGTGCAAAATGTGGTATGTAAATATTAACTTTTTTTTATAAAAAGAATTATTTATTTATGATTTATTAGTATTATTTTAAATTTTATTTCCTTCTGATTTAATTTTATTTCCTTCTTCTGCACTAGTACCGGTACTGGTAGGGGGACTTAGTCCAGGAAGTGGACCTATTGGTCCTTTTTGCCAATACCAAAGACAACACTACCAATGGTTGTCTATTGTACCTCCAACTCTGCCAAACCTTTTTGTTCTTCTAATGAAGTTCAAAAGGTTGGGCCAATTTATGGAGGTAGCTCTGATTTAGCAGACTACTATAAAATGTCACCTTTATGGAAAAGAGAATAAACATGTGAAATTGTTCATACGACTTTTTGTACTAACAGTAGTGAATTGTTTCAGTGCACGATCTCAGCTATATACTTACGATCAAAACTCTTATTAAATTACAACGCATTTATTTAAAAAAAAAATGTATATATATATATATATATATATATATATATATATATATATATATTTATATATATAAGCATTATTGTTCCTGTTAACCACATATTTTTTTTTAAATAAAAACTTCATTACACGCGTTTTTTACTATTTTTGTGGAGACTGAATTAGATCGAGCGGTTAGATTTCCGATGTCGGCTGGAATCGACTAATTGAAGTGTTTTTATATATAGAATAAAATATCTCAGAAACTAAAAATCGGACTTGCATACTATAGCCAAGGGAAATGTTCAGCATTTTATCCTCTATGTGTAATGAGCTATTATTTATAATTTATATTTCATATTATTAATCTCACCTAGTTGATGTTTTCCCTTATATCGTGAGGTCTAAAGCATACACCTTAGTTGTTTTTTTTACAGGTTATCAAGAACCACTTTAACATAAAAAAATAAATCCAAGCATTAAAACATTAAAAAAAGCACCCTAAATGAAATCCTGAATCCGCTAATGGTTAAAACGAATGACCATTTACCGCCTCCAACCCTAGGGTGATCCTCCAAGAAGAGCATAGCAAAATGGCGGCCGGTTAGTGATTTCATACATCTGCATATCATTTATGAAGATAAAAGAAAGACATAAAGTATTTTGGAATCATTTCACCTACACATAAGAAATATGTAATAATAATATAATTGCTAATAAGATAAATAATAATGACTGAACGTATTACCCAGAAACATGCCTGAGAGTTAAATTGCTTTATCGCCTAGGAAAAAAAGTGCTTATCTAGAGAAAGTTTTAGTGACTCCTATAATTATTCCTTCAAATGGTGTCATATTGAAAAGCACAAGAGAGGGGGAACAGAAGATCTTAGCCTCGACTCAGAGAGCTTGAATTGGTTCAAAAGGCAGTCCTGCTTGATACTTGCAGAATTGTATGAAAAATCCTAAATAAATGAAATAGCTCATTATCACTAAATTTCCTCGAATTATCTTCTGTGATTTATCTATTACGAAATGTAAGGAGAATTAATGGAATAATGTTCCATTCCAAATCAGATATTTTTAAAATTTTAGACTTAGGAATGGTACCGAAACATTTTTTTTATTGTTTTTTAAGGTTATCTATTTAGGAATAATAAACCATTAAGTAATAATAATTAATTTTTGTGGTGGTTCAATGTAGTGTTGCCCAAAATAGGTCTTCAGGAAAGAAGAAAAAAACATTAAAAAAAAAAAATTTATTCAGGGACTACAGTCCCCTAAGAATAATAAAAGTGTTACAAATTAATGGGTATTAGTGTGGCTTAAAATAATAAAAAATACAAACTAATTAACTGCTTAACTGGTCTTGAACTTTGCGGGACCAAGACCAAGACCGCCTAACTGTTGCAAAACCAAGACCAAGACTGGTAAAAAAAATCGATTTTTTGAATAAAGATTAAGGAAAAATAGTAACTAATACTTGACAATTTTAGTTACTGTATAGCTATCAGTTACTATTTAGCATTTAACTCTTCGAATTTTAATTAGGTTTCTCATATCTAAAAAATACAGTAATAAGCTAATAGATAACTGTGAGACTCTATCGCAAGATGAAGACTGAGTGCACAAGACCAAGACTCGTCTTGTCTTGGTCTTGCATTTGGGCAACACTAGTTCAATGTGATCCTGATATTCATAAGTTTAAGAAAAATACGGTTTAGAATGAAAGCTATAACACAGGGGAGAGTTCGTAAGTTCGTTTTAGGCTAGATGTGTTCGAAATCGAAAAATAGAAGAGTTCAATATATTTATATTGTTTTGGATCGTGAAATATTAGATGAGGATGTTTTGACTGGTTAGCATGAACTGTCAACACAAGAAGAGAGATTGAATAAAATCCTGAGTTTTTTTTTCTTTTCTAGAATACTAATGCTGCCCTAATAAGGGTGCATTTCCAAGGCACCAAATAAAGCGTGGCTTGCCCACGCTATGGCGCCATGAGGAATGTTCGTCCCATCTGGATTAGTCCAATCCAAAATAGAAACAGATAACTATCAAATCAGGGATAACTATTAAGGAAATATTTAAACTGTTAATTAACGAAAAATAAGGGAGTAAATGTAGAACGACACAAATTCTTTAGACACTAACCTCTAAAAAAAGCTATAGTTTCAAATCTGTGATAACTTCCAGGATATTAACACATATAGACAGACATTTCATGAACGATATCATATTGTACAGCTAGTTAAAATAGCTATAAAATCACCAAACAATAGTTATATTATATTAATGTCGTTACTCGGGCAAGAGCTTATATATGAAGAGGTAAAATTTGCAGGAAAATATCAAATAATAAAGCTAGACATGGGTACGCGATCATAAACCCAATAATAAAATTATTATTGCAATATTTTTAGAGGAGGATGATATCCAGGAGTTTCATAGCCTTCAGATATTGTAGTAATAAATTTTATTTCATAACAATAATATGTAGTTCTTATTGCTTTTATTTATTTGTTCATTTTCATTCTTCAGGATATATGTATATATATCCTGACGAATGGAAATAAATTATATATAATATAATTTATTATTAATAAATATAGTCGGAATTAAATATATATTTCGAACTTTCGATTACCACCACTTTTTGTTTGTTGGTTTATTTTTCCTGTTTTAATTTATATTACCCTATATATTATTTCTAAAAGGTGTTTTTTTTTTTGTCAGTACGCCATAACTTCATAAATTCTACATCAAATCAAATGAATGATATTCATTTTGAAGATATTCTTCTCCTTCACATGCGAAAAATAGTCCTATCCCCCGAAATTTCTGGAAAAAAAATTATGAAGGAAAAGAAACTTTATTGTACCCATGATAATTAGAAAATTACTAAATTACCTTCAAAATAAAAAAATAAAAAAATCCGGCAATTATTACCAAAGATATAGTCCATTAGCTTTGGTATACTTAATAACGTCTTCCTTTTTAAAGATATTACATTTAGGAGTAGAATAGTCTACTACACTTTTTTTCCTGGCCCATATATTAACTATATTATTTCTTAAAGGCATTTGTTTGTTCTTAGATTTTATTGTTAATTTAGAAAATTCCATGATCGGGACATATAAACACAAAATAAGTCTTTATTATTTTTATTATCTTTCCAGTTAGCGTTTAAAAATAGGTCTTAGCAAAGCAATTTGTGCACATATTTTGGTCCATTAGGTTTAATGGAATATTGTAATCGACCAAGGAAAAAAAATTAATTCCTTACATAATAGGAACTACTTATTTCCATATTGTTTTGCTATTTCTTCACTAAACAAAATTTTCTGGAAATTATTCGCACGGGCCAAATAGTCTCAGTTATTTTTAATTTAACAATCTATATAGTTATTCCTTTTTCTTTTTTCTAGTTTAATTTTTTTAAATTTTAATTTCTTCTTTTTCTTAGCCCCTCTCCCCCACGCTGTGTCTCTCTCTCTCTCTCTCCATTTTTCTTTTGTGTTTACTTCAATTTACATTTCAATATTTATTTGAATAACTCACAAATATTAACACTAATTATAAAATATTTTATACAGTTAATATGCCAAATGGCATGGAACCTGTAAACATTTAAAAATACACTACCCTCTCTTAGAGTTATAATGAAAGCGAAAAAAATAAACACCAAAGTACTAAGCTCTGTTAATTGCTCATATAAATAATTAAAGCATAAATTACATACTAAATACAATAAATGTATAATCAGACATAAGTATACTAATACCATTTTTATTTTATCATGCCATAAAATAATAAACGTATAACAAAATTATTTTTTCTTATGTGGTGGGTTATTTTGATAGGAATACATTTTGGCAATTGAAGTGTAAATTTTATAATAAGTTAATAAAAAACAAAGTTTAAGAAGACTGTATTATTGTATGAGGTCATAAGTTTAGAGAGTAGACCATCTGTAAAAAATATAAAAAGTGACATAAAAATGGCATTTCAATCGGCCAGAAATACAATACATTCTAATTTTGAACGAAATTAGTATACAAAAAATAATGCAATAAAAGTCGTAATAAAGTGATCAATAAAGAAATAAATTTAAATTAAAGTAAACAACATGAAGTTTTAATAATGTAGGCAAACCATATCAGATTTTAGTTAAGAATCATTAATACTTATTAAATAAAATAATTAATCATATAATAATTAAATTAAATTAAATTAATCGAAGCCTCTACTTCTCTTTGGCAGGGAAAGGACCAACCTAATCGATTGTAGTTCTATTTGTCATGACACATCATTCCACTTTATCATCGTCAGTCCTTGATGGATCCTTCAATATTCAAGTAATTACTCAATTATTCCTAGAAGACGTCTTATTATTACTATGAAACGAAATTGGAATAACAATAGTTTAATATATCGGAAGGGTTCTCTGACAGCCTTCAGCGAACGGTACCCGGAGGAGGCGATGTTAGCCATCAAGTAGGTGTCTCCAGGCGGAGGAATAGTGCAGAAGAAGAGATCCGGTTTGCCCTGGATGGTAGCGGCCATTCAGAGAAAAAGAAAAAAGTAGTTCCCAGCAGGGCCCAGTTTCAGGCGGTGGGATACTCGGGAACTTCATACAGTTCAACTTGA